GAAACGGAGTGAATGCTGCTATGATTTTCTAAAGTAAAAAGTATAATTAAGAGTCACAGATGTGCTTGTTTACTTATTCTGAAGCCCTGCCGTTTGTACTGATGGGAAATGGGAAGGAATGTGCTCTGTTCACATGTCGACCTAGATGTGAATGGAAGCCCGTGGGTCCGCGGAGTTGACGTGTCTCTGCTCCCCAGCGGATGACGGCCGAAGCACACCGACGCGTGGTGGTGGAGTACCTGCGGGCTGTCATGCAGAAGCGCATCTCCTTCCGCAGCCCAGAGGAGCGCAAGGAGGGGGCCGAAAGGATGGTCCGGGAGGCTGAGCAGCTGCGCTTCCTGTTCCGCAAGCTGGCATCTGTAAGTGCCACCGCCTCATGCCCTTTCAGAATTACTGCCACTAAAAGGTATCGCCGTGGCTGCTTTTCCAGTTTCCACCCATAAGACTTTTAGGCCAGTTCATCAGGATTGGTCATGGCAGGAACCAAGTGACTGATTCTTGTCTCCTGTGTAAACAGGAGAATCTGCGTAGAGATCTGTCTGACCCGTGGTTGGGGCACATGTGCTCAGGGCAGTAGCTTCTAGACGTCTGGTGTCAGCACTTAACCAGACTTCAGCTCTGAGACACAAGGCTCATCGTCCCTTCCTTCATGCGGGGCCGATCTGACCTCACGACCCACCTAGCCCCCAGCCCCATCTCTGTGCTTAGCGCTCCCATGGGAATGGCCCCCGTGAGAACTTCCTTGGCGTTTACCTGAGAGGAGGGAGTGGGCTGGCCAGCCAGGCATCCTCTGCCAGGGAGGGGGGTGGAGAGGCTCCAGCCTGTGTCCAGCTCGAGGTGTTGTGGTGCTGCATGCTGCTCATGACCTCTACACTCACTTCTAGGGATTTGGCGAAGAAGTGGATGGGTACTGTGATACGATTGTCGCCATTGCAGAAGTGATTAAGCTGACAGACCCATCCCTGCTCTACCTGGAAGTTTCGACTCTGGTCAGCAAATACCCAGATATCAGGTAATAGCCTCCTGTCTCAGCTAGAACTCGGGGAGCAGAGCAGCAGGATCATTCCAAGGGTCCTGGGTTTTAGGTGTGACCCTGAGGGGGTAACAGTACAGCAGCTCTGAGCTCCTCCAAGGGTAAGCTGTGCAGACAACAGTCGCAGGCAGAGTGGGCTTCTGAGAATGACGGCGGATATGCCTGCATTTCGTGTGCCCTCTGCCAGCCCTGTTCATGTTCCTCCCAAGTCTCAGAGTGGCTGGGGCCGGGCTGGGACTCAGTGTGGGTGGGAAGGTGGCTGAGCAGAGTGGTTTTAGGAAGCTTACCTTGTTGTGCTTGTGGTGGACTCAGAAAAGGGAGCCTGTGTGCCGTGCTTGACCAGGATACCTTCCAGCCCTTGTGGGGAAAGGGGCCTGCCCACCAGGCTGGCTGCAGGCTCCTGCAGCTTTTGCAAACCCACCCAGGTTGCCTCCCAGCATCTTCTCCTCCTGTGGTTGCTCTGGGCTGGCTTTGAGCAGGAACAACTGATGGTCCTGTGCTCTCCAGGGTCCTCCTGCTCTAGTTAGTCCATTAAACAAAGATTTAGAAAAGCAACCTTTAAAAAACTTTGCAGTTGTAGACTGAAAAAAAGACCATGTTATGATATGAAAACCTGGGCTTCTCTCCCTCTGACTGGAGGAGAGACAGTCCTTTCACTTGCAGCTGTTGACCCTGTTCTGGGGACCCTCAGTGTCAGCTGAGCTGCATGGTGGTGGGGGGTGGGGAGCTTGAGTAAGGCTCGAGGTGAGCGACTCAGTGCATCCTCCCATGCACCCCTGCGATGTGCGCCCCCCCCCCCCCGCCCGCTTTCCCAGAGACGACCACATCGGCGCTCTGCTGGCCATGCGAGGGGATGCCAGCCGGGACATGAAGCAGACCATCATCGAGACGTTGGAGCAGGGCCCCACGCAGGCGAATCCGAACTATGTGCCCATCTTCAAGGAAATCATCGTTCCCAGTCTGAACGTGGCCAAGCTCCTCAAGTAGCTATTCAGCTTCCAGCCTGAATCTGGTCCCGCAGTCCTCACCCCACAGAGTGACAACCAGGGGCGCGTGGTGCCAAGCACAAGGCTTCCTGAGGGACAGGTGCTCCGGTGGCGGGTTCTGGCCCTCTTGTCATGGACAGGCTTTGTGAGCAGGGTCCTGGCTGGCTGTTCCTGTTTGCCTCTTGGCCTCCCTTTCTTCCACAGTGTCAGGACTTCGGACGCTTCTGCTCAATAAAAGTAGCTGCTGCGGGGAACTGAGAGTTGCCCGGCTTTGAGGTTTTCTTACTAGTGGTGGCTGCAAGGGGACCAGATGCTGCATCTGGAGGCCACCTCCACCCTCACCCACCTGAGTCGGGCGGGGTCCCACTGGCATCCCATTGGCTCGCTGCTCCTCACCTGAATAGGTGGTAGTCCTAGGTGTGTCTGATTTATGGGCCCCGCTTGCTCCTGAGACAGAGCCCCTGAGACCCTCTTTCTGTCATTTGGCTGTCTGTCCATGGGTGCCTTCAGCCGTAGCTTCATTTTACACATTAATTTTTGCACCAAGCCCAGGAAAGTTCCACCCAGGACAAACGGTGAGCTCCTGCAAGTGTCTCCCCAGCCTCGCACTGCCATCCCGGTGAGCAGGCTTTTGTAGGTGGCAGTGCTGCCGTCTGACTTCACTGCTGACTAAAATGGGGAGCAGAGGCGTTTGCTCTTGTTCCCCTGTCACAGAGCCCTCCTCCTTGATGCGGGGTCCCAGCGACTGGCCAGTTCAGGCAGGAGGGTCCTCGCTGGAGGAGACACCTGTGCTGCAGTTTCTCGCCGGACGGCGCATGTGTATGGGGTCAGGCTGCTCTTAGCCTCCGAGGGTATTTGTGGGTGGGCCTGTCCCTGATAGCACCGTTGGTGTGGCACGCTTGTCTTCACGAGACCTGAGACATTCACAATAGGACTTTCTGGGAGGAGTCGAAACTAAAGTGGAGTTAAGTAACTAAAAATTCAGTTCTTACGAGTACTACTGGCTTGGAAGAGGTGTACTGTTCCTAAAGACCCCTAGCTGGTGTGTGGTTCCCGACATACATGTTAATCTGGTTCCCCACTTATGAGATGCCTTAAACAGCATCTAGCAATGCTCCATAAATAGTTTTAAGTTAATTGTTAGTCATTAATTACTGCCCCTTATAATAATAAGAATGCATTTATTTTCACTCCAAGTTACTTCCGGACTAAATATCCAGTGTGACCATTTAGAGAATAACAGACGCAGGTGGCACTTGTTCTGGCCGGTGTCCTGCACCGATTATGTGATGGTCACTTGGCTATGTCCACTTCGGGGACACTGCAGTAACAGCTAAGCATTGGCTGCCCGAGCTGGATGCCAGCAGTCCTACAGTGGCACATATACGGGGACAGGATGTGGGCTGGGGTGTGCACACCAGCACCCGGGGCAGGGTTATGTACAGGCTACCTGGCGAGAGGCCGGCAGCACCCAGGTAAACTGCCCTGGTTTTAACAGGACAGGCAGCCTGCACCAGGGGCCAGCTTCATCCTGTCTCATCGGGCCCACTGTCTACTCACTGAGTCTTGAGGTCATTATCTGTAAAAACACTTGTCATTCAGGAGGAAGAACATCTTTAGGAAATTTCCTTGACTCCTTCAGTGGGTTTTTGGAGAAGGAGGGGAAGGACTCCTGACTGAGTTGATGAGAGCGCATGTCACTCTTGCCAGTCAGCCTCACCTGGTGTGCTGTCCCCTCCTATCTGCTCAGGCACCATCCAGGCTGCTGTAATGAGGTCACCCCCTAGACACAGGTCCTGAGAGCATGCAGGTTTCTATCCAGAGGAAACCGATCGTGCCTGGTGGGCAAAACCAGGCTGCTCTGCCTCACCTTCCTGTGTAGGGTATGCCTTAGGATGGTACCAAACAGCAAGTGCCACCTGGGCACAGACATGGGACACAGAGCAAGGAGAGGCCAGAAAATGGCTCCCTTTGGTAACCAACATGGGAGAGGGGAGGTGGGGGCCCTAAACTGAGTTAGTGTCCTTAAGAGGTGGCACTAGGTGAAGACAGGGTTGGGGGCGATGCCTCTGTAAGCCTAGGAACGGCAGAGAATGCAGAGCTGGGAGGACCCTACAGGGCGCAGGGGGAGTGGGCCCTGTCCAGATCCTGATTTCTGACTCCCGGCCATGAAGCTGGGTTGTTTTTAAGCCACCAGTTCGTGGTGATTCCTATGACAGCCCCAGGAAGCTCCTTTCTATCAACTGAAATGGGTCAGACTCCTCATGAATTGCATCTTTTCTTTATTTTCTTTTTAGACATTCAAAATTTTAATTATTAAAGTTTGTGTCTCTGTGATACCAAGACCTCAAGGATGACCTGCTGGAGATGATTGTCTAGACTTCTCTGTGTGGCTTCACCTGGGGGGTCTGGTCCACCCCGGTGATGGGACACACCTGGGAGGTGGGACCCACTGGGACACTCAGGGGCAGGCACATGGCTCCATCTCTTGGGCCCACCCCCATTTGTGCCCCCCCAACTAGTCAACCCCGCAGAGGCCCTCTCTGTGCACTGGGCTGTGGGCCTGCTTGTCCCCGTTGTCCCGTGCTGCCCTTGTTTCAGCCCCAGGCTTACCCGCCGTCATGTTTCCCTTGCTTTGCCCTCCTCTTAGACTGGGTGAGTGCTGCTCCCAGCCTTCTCGGGCCTGGCGCCGTGTGCAGTGACAAGTCTAAGCAAGTAGCGGCAGTGTCCACCTGCCTCTGCTGGGGAGGAACCAGTTTCCAGGACACAGCCTGTGCCCACAGCTGTATGTCCAGTGACCTCGGACCATCCAGAAGGACCCCCCCATACATGCACACAGTTATCTGCACACGGCTATGTACACACACACACACATCCGTGTTAATTCCAGAGCCAGAGCAATGTCTGCCTTCAGGAGACTGCGCCTTACATTCTCCTTGATGTGGTTTCTCACTGATAAAGTTTGCACCCAGAAATGCTTTGAAATGCTTTTAATAGACTTGATCAGGCCGTTGTGGCAGGGTCTACGATGGGCCCCCTGCCTGGACACCGCCACCAGCACATTGGGGGGCCCTGTAAGGCACATTGATTGTGATTAGGGTTACATAAAGTCCGGCTAAGATCATTTGCACAAAATTCACAATTTCACCACTCATTATAATACACTTCAATGAAATTCTTGCTTTAAAAATCTCCTTTCACAATAGATCAGCAGTGTACAGTACATGAGCTCTGCAACAAAATTATTTTTAAGAAGTGAGAAACTGACTCCTAAATCAGTGTGCTTTATCATCTACCACAAAGTAGGCCAAAGTTCAGTATTAAATAAATAGGAATTCTTTCCTAATAAAAAATTTTACAACAGTTTTCCTAAGGAAATACATTCATAAGACATTGTTTACATTCTGTTTTACAGTGACGAGAACAGCTAGGATTCTCACTTGTGAAATGTATCCACAGTACGGGGGTCTGTAACACTGTGTCACGGGTGGAGTTGTCTCTCGGTCACTGAAATGTGGGGCTTGGGGTTCTGTGAGGTCGCATGTCTGGAACTTCGGTTCCATTATGGCTGTGCTTAGATTGTGCAGTTCAGCAAACGTCTGCCCACCTACCCCAGAAATAGGGCCGAAGGGTTTGCCCGGGAGATGTTTGCCAAATGGATTCACCACTGGGAAGTTTAGCGTCAAGTGGGGTGAGTAGGGTGTCCAGCCACTGCCCCTGAGCTGCTTTACCAGACTCAGCCTCTGGCCCTGCAGCCTGAAATTGGATCTGGGTCCAGTGGTCCAGGGGAGTTAGTTGTTAAGGCGCTGGAGGGGCCAGACTGACTAGGCTGTGGACCCCGGACGACCCCCTGCTCCTGGACCCAGCCTGTTCTGGATGAACCACTACTGCAGGGGAGTGGACAGAGCATCACCTTCCTCAAGTTGCTGTTGGTGGCTGTGGCTCAGCAATGGCTGGCCTGAGGTCACTAATGGACAGGTTTGGTTGTGTGGATTGTGGCTGAGTCTTGTGCTCTCAGAGTTGATTAAAGTGGTTGCAAAGTGTGGAGAGCAACTACTGAAAATCAGCTCTCCTTTATTTGTGATGGCTGAGCTAATTATTCAAATAGTGAGTAGCTCTGCTCCCTCTGGATGCAGAGCCTCCTCTGTGTCGGTGAACAAACACCACACTGAATGTTCCTTTTGCTGTCACTTGCTTTTCTCAATAGCAAAGCTACAAACAGCAAATTGCAGAGACTTTTCCATCAGGGACTCAATGTGCACCATGAAAACACTATCAACTGCTCGTGATCCTCACCCGTGGAGGCTGTGACAACTTGAGCACAGCATGAAGTCTCCTTTCCTGAGCAGAGCAGAGCCTGGCTTCTTTAGAAAAGCCTCTAGGAGTGTCCTGAAGTCCACTGTCCCTTTAATCCTTCACTACCTCAACTTCACACAAAACCTTACCTCTGAGGAATGGGCGGGCAGATGAGGGCCAACTCAGCAACTGCTAAGTTAGCAGGTCCCTCGCCAACCGCTCCCCGCAGGATAGCTGGACAGTGGTCTTGGTGGGAATGGGGGAGCTCTAAGGGCTCATCTCTGATACCCTGGAGGAGGTAACAGGCCATCTGTGCTACGTCCTCAGTATAGGGCCAGGGGTCTTACCAGGGTCTGGGCCCTGTTCCAAGACCCCTTAGTCCTCCATAAAAAAGCAGCTCCCAACAGCACACCTTCCACCAGCTTTCCTCTGCTTGGTCAGGAGGGCCCAGGTCCACCTAAGGACTGGCTGTATTTCTAAACAAGAGTTGTTTAGAAATGAAGGCCCCACTGGCTTAGCTGCAGCTGTGGGAGACACCCATGCAGCCAGTACAAACTCTAACCCAGCCTGGGCTATCTGCCAGTGTCGGGTGGGGCAGCTTGGGCCAGAGAGCAGGTGTTTTAGTACAGGGCAGCACCTGGTACTCAGAGGCCGCCGCACTGAGAGCAGACAGGTGCTGGGCTTTAGAAGTCTCAACACAAAAAGGATGAATGAACACAGATGTTTCTGCAATTGTACTGAGTCCATGAGGTGGTAGGTGGTTCACAGAACTGGTTAGTGGGCATGGTATCACCCAGGTCTTGGATGACCACACCCCAACCCCTTGGCCTGTGAATTGCTCCTGGGACCGGGGCTTCTGATCTCCTGGGGCCCTGAGAGAGGCCAGCCTGGGCCTGAAGTCAGGTTGCTGCCATGTGGGAAAATATCATTTTTCTTGGGTCTCAGTTTCCCTGACAGTGCTGATGAGAGCGAGAAGGGATATTAAAAGTGACAAGAACTCAAACACAGAGGCTGGACTCTGGAGTCCAAGGGCCCTTCCAGTCCCTGAGTCAGGAGTGACAGTGGGAACAGTACTAAGTGCCAACTCAGTTCAAAACCAGGACAGGTGTACAGAAGGACCCACGAGGCACTCTCCTTACAAGGGCACCTGTCCATATCTCCCAGAAACTGGAGGCTTGGCCACTGTCCACTTCTTGTTCCACAGGGGCTCCCCTGCACTCTGCAGGTGGCGCCACGGAATTTCGAGGTTCAGGCCTTGCAGACATTTGGTCCTCCTGCTATTGATCCCACACCCAGACTTTGGATGAGGTGGGGAGTGGCACCCAAGGCTGCTCCAAGCCTCGACGGGAAGACCGCGGGGTCGAGGCCATGGAGGGGACACCTGGGAGGTCGCGTCCGTCACAGGGGCGTCTCCTCTTGCTCCAGTGCATGCGGCGGCGCGTGGAACGACGGTTGCAGGGACGCCAGCTTGAGCAGCGCCGGCCGGCGGCGAGCGCGGGGCCGCTGGAACGAGCGCCGGCTGTGCACGCGGCGTGCCGCCGCCGACCGCGCGTGCGCGCCTGGCAGCCCCCGGCGCTCCAGTCCCGCCCCCTGCGTAGGCCCTTCTTCTAAAGCAGACCCCACCTCCGACAAAGGGCCCGCCCCCAGTTCGAGGTCCCGAGGTGCAGCGGAAGCCGGGTTCTGGGCGGTGGGCTGGGCCGGAGGCGCAATTGCCGGGGCCGGGTTGGGCAGGGGTGGGGCGAGCAGGCGCGGAGGCATCTCAGCGGCGGGCAGTACCTCGCGCGGGGACGTGCGTCCCGTCAGCGGCGCGTCAGAGCCCGTGTCACCTGCAGGAGAAACCAGCATGATCGCGGGCTCCTGAGGGCAAGGAGAACCCCCACCACCTGCCATGTTCTGGGACACTTGCAGGCCACACCCTGGCTGTGTGACCACCAGAGTCCCCAGTGACAGGGTCAGGTCAGACCCTGACTCTGAAGACCTTCCACAGGTACCCCCGTCTGTCCCCTGCCGTACAGAGCCCAGCACTGAGATCCAGGATGTTCAAGGAGAAGACCGCAGGAGGGAGGAAGCCGGGAGGAGACAGAGGCATAGAAGCGCCGTGGAGTCCTGCCCACAAGCCAGGGGGGGCATCAAGTGGAACTGTGCAAGGCGCTTCACTGCGCACCACCACTTCTAGTCCCAGAAACGTCCGGAGAAAGGCCAGCTCGCGTACCAAGAAACCACTTCGCCACCCTAAACCAAGTCCAACCAGGTGGACTGATAACCACCCCTCTCCAAGTGTCCACAGGAGGGAAAAAGAGGTGAAACTCCCATGAGCGAGTCTGCCCCACCTGTGCTGGGGGGAGTCTTCTTTTCCATTCCTCCCATGTTTCCACAAACTCTCAAGGTAAACGTGCTAAGCCCAGAACCCTGCCCAAGGAGGCTGAATCCCTTCCCTGCAGAAGGCTAAGTGAGGACAGCACGTTCTGGGACCCAACAGTATCACCACGGCAGCACCTACTGAAAGGCGGCCCAGTCCTTTACCCTCCACCCTTGCACACCGCCCTCTCCTTGCCTTCTCCCTGCCTGTCCTGATGGAGGAGGGCACGCCCCCCAGGACTGGAAGGGAGAAGGCAAGGAGAGGGTGGTGGGTGAGGGTGCAGGGTAAAGGGCTAGGCCACCTTCCAGCAGGTGCTCCTCTCTGGATGCGGGCGAAAGGAAACAGCTGCTTCTCTCCTGGACTCACTTCTGTCATGTAGTCTTTCCCTGGGGACCCAGGGCCTTGAGGGAGACAAATAGATGTTCCCTTTGCACACAGCACCCCAGCCCAACCCATGCCCAGTCATCTCTGAGCTCATAACTGAGATTCATGGGCTTGCTGCATGGGTTAAAAACTTAGAGCAGTTAGTGATCAAACTGACAGGCTAAGTAGTTTCTAGCCAGTAAGCTAAAACAGTCGAATCCCCAAACAGTTCTGAATCCTGACATCCCGGCTGAAGATGCAGAGACTCCGATAGTCTCCTATGAAAGGTTCAACCAGAACAAGAGGCTTGTGGGAACAGGCTTAGCAAGAGGAAGAGCAGCTGCTGGAGAAAGTCTGTAGAGGTTAAGGTCCCGGGCCAAGAGAGAGGCAGATGTCTAGGGAGAGGAGCTGAGGAGAGAGCAGGTGTTAGGGACTAGAGAGGGGTGAGGAGCCAGTTACATGTGCGTGGAATCAGGCAGAGTGGTGTGGGGCTGCTCCTTGGGGCCTTCGGCCATCAGGAAGGAGTCCACAGACTTGCTGCTGAGGCGGAAGGGAGCCAGGCGGTGGAAGTTGCCCGGAGATTGGGGGATCTGCACTCGGGCCCTCTGGGAGGGCACCACTGTCTCCCCGGGAGACTGCCAGGGTGGCACCCTGGTCAGGATGTTCGGGTCCTCATCCAGGGAAAACACAGGGTTGTCAATTCCTAGGAGAAAGGGCAGTGGCTGATCAGCTTCCCAAGTATACCCAGAATGGCAAGATGGAGGGTGGTACCCAGGGGTCAGATACCAGTGTGTCCTGCGGCCGTCACCTGGAGGTCACCTAGAAGGTCAGGGTCATGTGCCTTTGGGGCTTGAGGCCCTCCACCCCATGCTCTCCTTCCCCACACCATGAGCAGGACAGGTGACAGCTCCCTTCTCTCAGAGCAGAGACCTCCCCGGTCCCACCGGCCCTGTCCAATGACTGCATTCACTTCTAAAGTGGCAGGCCACCCCTCTCCTCACCCGAGGGGGAGTCTGTCGCTGTATCCCTTGTGACATTCGCCAGGAACTCAATCCCTCCACTCATGTCTTCAGCATCGTAGTTGGGGGTCTCCTCCGGGTCTGAAAGTTCCAAATCTGGTGGCAGAGGAAGGGCAGCACAAGGGAAATGGGCTGGGTACACGGAAGGCCCCGGCCCAGTGCTCCCAGCATGCCCTGAGGGCTGACATCACTGCCACTCTGACAGGCAGGGCGGCGGCCTGCCGTGCAGGGTCCTGGGTGTTGGGCGAAGGGTCTCCCTTCAAGGATGGCCCCCTGCACCCTGCCTCGCCCTTTGCCCATGTCCCTGACTTCCTGCTGACAAGCATTTCTGCTGTGGCCCCAGTTGGTACCTTTTTCCTTAATGGTGAAATTTTGTATGGAGCTCTCCATGGGCAGTTTGCCATTGGGAATGCTGCTGTTTCTCTGAAAAACAGGAAAAAAACACAGGTAAAAATAAGGCAGCCAGAGGGTCCCTGATGGCAGATGGTCCTTGGGAGACCCCACTGGTCCGCAGCCCAGATCCCCTCCCTCTGCAGGCCTGTCCCTGAAGGGGGTTCCTTGGTGGTTCCATCCCTGAGCAACACGGTCCCACAGTGACCTTAACCCCCCAGTCCTGCCTTCGCACTGTTCCCCCAGCCTCCCGCCCCCAAGCCGAGGTCCCCCTGCCCCGTGGCCCCTCACTCAGCACCTCACCCGTTTCTGAGCGCGCTCTCGCTTGTACTGTTTGGCCGCCTTCTTGTTCTGGTTGATGCCCAGCTTGGCTGACTTGAAGGACTCCAGGCGCTTCCGCATGGTCCTGTGGAAGATCTCCTTGTCCTGCTTCTCGTCTTCCTCTGGAGTTAGCTCGTGTCGACTGTAGAGATGTTTGTACTGCGGAAGGGGAGAGATGACAGGGACAGTCACAGCTGGCGGTGGCCTGCAGAGCTGGAGGCACCCCAACATTACCGCCCCTGTGCAGCCCCAGGGCAGGCTCCCTGCGAAGATGGCCGGACAGACACCCGGGACTCCAGAGCTCCGGGACCACCAGCCGTTAGGCTGATCCCTGACCCTCCAGCCTGAGGGACATCTTCCCTAAGGCAAGGATTCCCCCCTTCATTCCAGGGAGAGAAAAGGCGGGCCTGTGCCCCCACCCAAGGCTCTCTCTCTGGTCGGGTCCCTAGGGGCCCTGGGAGGCGCCCCCACTGCCTGGCGAGCTCACCTCCTGCCGGGGCTTGTACAGGTACTGCTGCAGCGTGTGGTGGGTGACCATGTCCTCTGTGTCGCGGATGCTCCTCCTCCTCTGCTCCAGGGACTGCATGTCCAGGCACACGGCACTAACGTTTTCCCTCCTACAGGGGACCAGGTGCAGTGTCGGAGAGCTCTGTCGCTCTCCCGCCTGCCCTCCTGCCCCCGTGTGCCCTCTGGCCTGGGCCCCAGCCACTGCTTAGAAAGCTGGTCCCGGGAGTCCTCTCCCTGGGGGTTTTGGTCTGACCGATGCCCTCAAAGCCACCTGTTGAAGGCTGAGCTTACCTGTGTGCATTTCCATGGCCATGCTAAAGCCCCAGCTGTGGGCTCGCACGCCCACTGCCTGTCCCCAGCATCACTGGCCGATAAGGCCAGCAACAGCCCTCTGCTGCCTGCAAGCCCCAGCCGAGCAGCCGGCCCAGACAAGGCAGGAGGCTCCGGCCCCAAGTCTGCTGCCTGGCTTTCCTGACCACCCGCTGCCCCGACTCTGCCAACACTAACCTGTTGACCGGGTAATAGCGGTGAGTTTGTGCAGGGGGCACCTGTTTCCACGCCCCTCCGCACACTCTGGGCCACCCCCACGGTGTTCAAGCTGGGGGCTCCACTTGCCTCCTTTACACCTCTCAGTTGCCCCAGGATGCCCATTGGCTGGTGTCTGTCCCTGGTGTGGCTGTGATCGGGAGGCCTGGGAAGTGCTGGGCAGGGAACACCGCCCCCCAACGGCAGCCCCCAGGGGCATGGTGGGAGGCGCCCTGGTAAGGGGTGGCCTCTCCCAGGGAGGAGCCTGGGTGAACGTGGGCACGTACAGCAGGTAGGAGACGGAGGCCTCCACAGTGGACGGGCGTGGTGTGCTGAAGTTGACGTTGACCACGTTGTCAGTGCTGGGGGAGCGGATGAAGGCCAGGGACCCGCGGCGCTCTCCCTGTGAGGGGGCAGCCTGCATAAGCGAGGACAGGGAGCACCGGGCCTGGCCAGGCACTCGGGCAGAGCCCAGAGAAGCCTGGAGCGCTGGGGCCACGTCACACTGTTCCTGGGTCCAGGACACCTCTCCGCCGAGAGCCGAGATTTCAGAGGCCACAGCCAAGGCCTTCATTGGGCTGAGAAGCGGTGACTTGTGATGGAAGAAGAAAGTGAAGGTGCAACCGTGTGTGAAGGACACAGCACCTCACTGGGCGCTGTGTGGGGGGAGGTGTTGGTAAAGCATGGCGGGGTTAGGAAGGTGACCCCTGCCTCCACTGGGGTCCGCACTAGCTGTCCTCATTTGTCCATGGCGGGAACCCTCGGGAATCATACCTTCAGATTGAGACCTCACAGAGCAGAGCCTGACAGGAAGAAAAGTCACAGCCTGGTTCCTATTGGTGGGGGCTGGGCCATGAGCTGGGGGTACCCCTGAGGGGAGGGGCTTGGAGCTGGGGAGGGTGCCTGAGTGGGACTGACCTGCTGGGAGCAGACAACAAGGTACACGGGCCACACCCTGGTGCCGTCTGAACAGGCCTGACCAGGGGAGGAGCCCATGGGCACAGTCAGGGGTTGGGACACTGGATGTGGGGAGCGCAGGTAGAGGTGAGGCTGGGGACCTTGCCAGGAGCCTGTGTCACCCACATGGCAGCTGGGAGTCTGGAGCCTGTGGTTTAGGGTTTCCATGGAACAGGGCTGGCTTGGCCCCGGCTCAGGGAATGGTTGACGGGCCCACTCCTCATCTCCCCATGGCCCCCAGCTCCTCCGCCAGGAGCACCGGGTCCCTCTGAGCAACCTGGGCATCGACGTGTCTGGTGCGTGTGGGATAGAGGAGCCCTGAGGAGGCAGCAGTCGTTCTCCCTCTGAACAAACAGACACTCCCAGCCCCCTCACTGCACCTCTGTGTTGAGGCCACAGGGTTTGCTGAGACTCCCAGCTCATCGGCTCTGCGTAGACCTCAGCTGGCATGAGAAAGGACAGAGGGAAGGCGTGACATCTGCGGGCTCCGGGGGATCAGAGGGGAGGTCAGGATTGCCTAGTCGGAGCCCCTCAGAGGAGGCCTGGTCAGGGGTCGAAAGTGAGCCTGCTGCTGTGAGTACTGAGTGTCACTGGGGGCAGCAGGGCCTGGAAGTCACTGTTACAGGTCATACACTGGGGGCAGGAAAGAAGCAAGCTCAGGGCCTGCCTAGACCCAGGCCTGTGCAAGGTACCAGGTGACCTTGGGACTCGGGGCATGTGTGGAGACATGCAGATGGCAGGGGTGGCCTGGTGATCAATGTGATGGCCATGTGGTGATCACATGTGTGCAACAGCTAGAAAGCACTGCCAGGAGGTGTGTGGCCACTGGGGAAGAGGCCAGCTGGGCTGCATATCCCATGAGGACTGGAGTTAGACCTGAGACCCACCATGGCCTGTGTCCTAACTGTGAGTGGCTGGAAGCTGCCGCTTGGGAGGTGGTGTCAGAAACAGAGAGATCCTGGGTGTCACCACACAGCCCACACAGCAGGCCTGTCCCTTATCTACCCATGTGCTCCCTGAGCCCTGCTCATGGACGCCGCACCCTGGATGCATGGGGGTGAGAGCTCTCCCAGAGGCCTGGGGTGAAATGCATTTACTCGAAGAAGGCCGGGGACTCTGGTGCTGGTGAGTCCTGCTCCCCAGGAGGGATGAGGCAATGCTGAGGAGGCCACTTCAGAACCAAAGCCTGCCCACAGGTGTGTTCCATGCTCACCCCGTGGGACTCAAGCAGACATCCTTGCTGTCTCCCCTGTGTGCGCATGTGTGTGCACATGTGTGCCTGTATGAGCATGTGTGCATGTGTGTTGAGAGCCATGATGGCCCCATAACCCCATACCTGGCCCCAGAGGTCAGATCCACCAGCACCATAGTGTCCTACAGAGTCATGGGGGAGGGTTCTATGCCTCAGCCTCTGGTGAGAGGGAGCTGTGACATGACCCTTCCCTGGGGTATTGGAGGACTTATGAACTTCATGTACACTAGCAGGTGGGCCATCAAGAGCATCATGGTGCCCTGACTAGTATAGCTCAGTGGATTGAGCGCAGGCTGTGAACCAAAGGGTCGCCAATTCCATTCCCAGACTAGGGCATATCCCTGGGTTTCGGGCCAGGTCCCCAGTGGGGGCGTGTGAGAGGCAACCACACATTGATGTTTCTCTCCCTCTCTTTCCCCCTCCCTTCCTCTCTCTCTAAAAATAAAGAAAAGAAAAGAACAACATGGTGCTGCCTGCAGCTGCCTCCCCACCCGCCCCATGGCCTTAGGTAAGGAGGAGCCCAGGGGCTGCCCACACCCCATGTCTGGGTCCTGGGTCAGGCCCCACCTCCCACAAAACACACACGGTGTCTCGTACCTCAGTCACATAGCTGATGGCGTCCTTCAGGTTGAGCTCATGGAAAACATTAAGAATTCGATCTCTTGACTTTTGGGCTGACCTCCTCATAAGGATTTTGCTGAGGAATTTCCTATCAAAATTGGACCACCTGGGGGATGGAACCAGACAAGGTCAGCACCTGGAGGGCTGTGGGTGAGGCCCTGGAACGACAGGGCAGGGTACCCCACCCACCACCCAGACTTGCCAAACATGGTCTCCCGAGCTGGGTAGACACAGAAGGCCCCCTGTTCCCTCACTGACTTTTATGTATTATTTATAACAACCACAAAGGCAAATTTAAAAAGAAAAGCAGTAAACCACAATCATGCCTATTTCACAACTCTACTTTGTTCCTACCTTCCTATCTGATGACAGTTGTTATTTTCTCATCTAATTTGATATTGCAGACAGTTTTCCAAGTGACTATGTAAGCCTCCAGAAAGGTGGGCAGAGGACAGTGTGGGGCACATCACGACTGCAGGAGGCACAGGTCAGGGGAGGAGACCAGCCCCACCCCCTCAGCTCTCACAATCAGAGAGTCAAGCCGCCCGGAAACAGTTTTTTAAACCCAGCACAATTAGAACAGTGGCCAGCTGTTTGTGTCAGAAGAGGCAGTGGCTGGACCAGACCTGAAGGGGAACCTTCCAGAAGAGGCTCAGTGCGTGGGGGAGGGGAAACGTGGGGCAGGGGGGCTCCAAACCCCGGGGAGGAGGGGTTGCAGGGGAAGGAGGGGACCTGGACATTTTGGCTCCTTTGAGTGCAGTGTTTTTCGTAATTAGGGTTTTGTGGGGTCAGAGTGTCAGCATTCTCTTTCCCTGGAAGGTCTATAGTCATTGGATAGAGGAGGAGGCAGGGAAACGAACAACTGAGGCAAAAGTACCTCCCAAGGTTCCCTTCTCATCCGGTCAGGGGCCACACCAGCCACTTACTTGTCTCTGAGATAATTGTGTCCGATTTGCCCTGATATGTCCTCGATGGCCGAGAGGATGTGGTCGAAAGCCTTTCCAGAACAGACAGAAGGGTCAGTGTCACCTGATGGCCCTCCCTATGTTCCTCCCCACGTTCCCCTTCCCCCCCAGCACTCGCCTCTCCCCTGTCCCTGTCCCTCCCTTCCCCCACCCCTACCCGGCCATGCAGCTTCTCATTGAGTTTGGGCTCATGGTGTTCACTCCTCTTCACCTTCAGCCACTGCACCAGGGGCTTGATGGTCAGGCCCTGGGAGATGGAGGCAGGGGGCACACTGACCCTGACAGCCAGGACAGGCCCCACAGCACCTCGATCCAGCCCACCTGGCCCCCGGTGTGCAATTCCACACCCGACCCACCCACACCCACAGGGGGTGAAGCAGGCCACCCTTATCCAGGGACCTGGCAGGTTTGTGAGCTTCCCTGCAGAGAGCATCCCCCACAACAGCCCTGCAGGTCCCCTGGCACCTCTTGAGGGCCCGAAATCAGCTCCTCAGATGAGCCTAAAGCAAGGCCAAGTGGGGTGATAAAATACGAACTGGGGCTCTCTCAACCGGTGACAGCTCAGAAGGATATTTTTAAGCCAAATTGTGCTGCGTCCCCTGTGGGGCCACATGAAAACCTACAAAACAGCTCCTAGTTACTAAAATTATAAAATCTAATTAGGGCCTGGAGCTCGGAAGGGGTCTCTGGAGAACACAGTGATGGTGTGGCCCACCCGCTGTGGCCGGCGGACTCGGGCATGGAGGGCTGTCAGGAGGACAGTGGGGCCTGGCTGGTCCAGTGCAGAGAGGCTACCTGGAAGATGACAGTGAAGTAGATGACGATGATGGTGGTGCTGACGAACAGTTTCTTCTCCTTGACCTTGTCCTCATCCAGAAGGACCACCAGGGCAAAAGCCACAGCCCCACGCAGGCCACCGTAGCACATGACCACCTGGTCTATGATCTCCAGCTGCACCATGCGGTACCGGTTCAGGATCCAGGTCTGCAGCACAACACCTGTGGGGGCCAGGCCTGTGCTCAGCTGCCACAGAGGGCCCTGCGCCCACTGTCGACCCTCCTGGCAGCCGCTGCCCTTGAAAGGTGGCACTTAGGAGTTCCCTCTCAGGATGGAAGGCAGTGACAAGTGACAGCAGCCTCTAGCATTGGGGATGGTGACAACTTCCCATCATGGCCCTGCTCACCCCCCTCCCTTGTTCCACTTTGGAACCGTGCCTTTCTGTGGATACTCTGAACACTCCAAGTCTGCGGTGTCGGCTGCTGGGCAGCTCCGCCGGTCTCAGGTCTCCATGGGGCTAAGGCTGTGCTGGCCGAGGCTTTGCCTCCTGTTGCCTCAGGCAGGTCTGGGACCAAAGGCCAGTGCTTGACCCTGCCCCACCACGGCATGTGCTCCCTGGACCCTTAGTCCCCAGGGACCGGGGGAGGTGGGGGTGCGACCACTGGAAGCCTTTCTTCCCCTTGGGCCCCCATCAAGGTCCCCAAGGCAGCACATGCCAGGGATGGTGACAGGTTCTGGAGGGCGGCACACATGCCATGGTCCGCTTCCTCAATGACTGCACCGCACTGTCCCTGAGTCATTCCGTCGTGTCCCAAATTTGTGGGGAACCAGACGGGCTCCCCTGGGTTCGGGAACCTTCCACGCTGACCCAAAGCTGTCCTACCTTAGAATCACCGTGGTGAGGCCACGAGAAGGCCTGGGCATTCCCTGAGGCCTACTGACTATCCGTCTGAGGCTCCCTGGGGCACCTGAACCTCCCCTTCGCTGGGCTGGCGGCGAATGTCAATGCCCTGGTTCCCACAGACTCCCCACGGCCAGTCCCTATGTCAACCTGCCATTGTCCCCCCACTGTCCTGCCATCTCCCCATCATCCTCCACGGCCTCCCGTCCCCTGTCACTCCAGGCGCATTATCCCCATCGCCCCCCGCCATCTCCCATGCTTCCCCATTTTCCCTCGTCACCCACGGTTCCCCCACCCCCACATGGTCTCTGTCATCCCCCACTGCCCAGCCGCCATGCCCTCACCAATGGCTCGGTACACAGAGATGAAGACCAGTGTCAGCAGCACGAAGGCTGTGTTCCACCTCCAGATCTGGGGGTCCACTGCCGAGATGCCCAGAAACATGAAGATGATGGTCTCGGCCCCGCTCGCCAGCATCTTCATGGTGTAGCGCACGGTGGTAGAGGACTGCTCCGAGATGTTGGCCTTCACGTACTTCTGACAGCAGATGCCGCAGAAGGTGATGCTGGGTGGGGGGTTACAACGTGCTGTGGGGCTCCCACTGGACGCTGTGGGGCCATTCCCAAGGCCCAGCACCTGCTGTCCCCCGGTGGCACTTCTGGGCCTCTATGTTCTGGACAAATGTCCACTCACTGGACAGCCCTTCTCTCTATGAGCTGAGGGTTCCTACTGGGCATTCAGCAACCTGAGCTGGGACCAGGCCAACATCACCACTATCTGATTATGAGCCTCTGGGACCTGAATCCTGAGCCACAGAGCAGGCCGCCTGTTTCTGTCCAAGCCAGGCGGGCTGGCTCAAAGCGAGGAGGTGCAGCGCAGGCCTGGGAGGGAGGCAGGGTGTGGGCCAGGAACACAAAGCCCCTCCCCTCCGGCCCAGAGTGGGCCTGCAGCGGGGACAGTTGCAGCAGAACACCAACTCCCTGTTTAAAAAGCTAAACAGATCAAATTCTTCGCCCCCACAGTGACGTTCCACCCAGTTGGGAAGTGGGCCAGGCAGACGGTGGGCTGGAGAAGGGACTGTGACGGGCTGTGCCATCTTTAGGGCTGGGGGAGCAAAGGTGCCACCCCTGACTCCCCTTCATCTAGGTGGGTCCCGTTCCCCTGTTTAAACAGCCCTCATGCTCCACAGCCCGCCCCACTCAGGAGGGCCACCAGGGTGTGCTCCGGGCTCCGGGGCCCATGAGCAAGGGAGGACTTACGCCAGGATGGCCGACAGGGACAGCATCTCGGAGGTGAGGTAGGACAGGTAGGAGATGACGAACACAAAGCCGGGCTCGATGATGCGCACGTGTTTGGTGAAGCGGGTCACGAGTGAGAGCAGGAAGGCGAACAAGACCCCCACCAGCGTGCCCCCCAGGCTCACCACGAAGAAGGACACTGCAAAGGGCAAGGACACAACGCTGGGCTCCCTGAATGGCCCTTTGTGGCCTCGGCATGGCCTGACCCGTGTGGCGTGGGCCAGGCCCATCAGGCTGGCCTTCCTTCTGGGCCATTCCTCACGGCAGTTGCCTGGTAACCCCCCCTCCCAGCAGAGGAGCCAACAGCTCAGCAAATAAGAGGCCCATTCTCTAGAAGAGGGGCCTGGAGTCCTCCAGCCTCACTGTGGGAAGCTGGGGAGGGGGCCGACCTGTGGCCCATAGGAGGCCCAGCTCCCCATCCACATCAGAGGGAACATTGTGACAAGTGGCCCTCTGACGTTGGTTCGCACCAAGGACCCAGCCCTGCGCCCACAGGCACGGCCAGGCTGCCATTACCCCTGCCCAGAGAAACATCTAGACTCGCAGGGCACCAGGACCCACATCCCCCAACCTGATATCCCTGTGGGTCTAATGGGGCAATGACCCTCGGGCTTCCCAGGGTGGCTGGGGCCCAGTGAAATTGTGTTCATGAAACACACTGGGGCCAGAAAGGACTGTCAGACCGTGGGTCCCAGGGGCAGACCTTGGGCCAAAGCTGGGCCCGGCCCAGCTCGGCAGTCCACAGACACACCACCAAGAAGCGGCCTGCATTCCAGAGAAGGGGGTGCGGCCCTGACATTCCCCTGACGCATGGATCCCCAACCACACACCTATGCCTTTCAAGCAATCCACGCCAGTCACCTTGTCACCACCCAGGTTCACGAAAGATTCAAACACGTTGTACAGGACCTGGGGGACAGAGAGGCAAACCAAACATGGGGTCGGCCCTCCAACAGCACTGACCCCCTCCCTATCTTAGGCCCCAAGCCTTGTGGGACTTGGAGCTGAAGAGAGGAGCTTGTGGCAGCCATCTATTTTGTAACCTGAAAACTGCCGGCAGGAAAATTATCACAGGGCGGTAATGGTCAGTCGGAAGGCGAGCCAGCGGGTGGGGTCTGGGAGGCAGAACATTCTGAAAGGAACTAGAACCTTCAGGAGCAAACATGTCCCTTTCCTACTCTGGACAAAACAGGGGCGGCCACAAAGCTAACCCACTGCATGCAATTCTCCATTTCATTTTCCAAGACAAACTCAGTTTCATCTTCAGGGACTTCGCTGTTATGCTGCCCCCCGATGCGGGATCACACCCCCCTGGCATCTTTGCATGTTGATGTTTAAACCTTATCCCACCAAGACGTTGAGATGAAACACCCAGAAACCTTATCCTCGGCCTCGGTTGTAGAGACAGCTGTGTTTTCTGAGCCCGAGCACTCCTAAACAGCGCCCCGGGCTCCACCCGGAGGGAGCCGAGGTGCCGCCCTGGGTGGGCTGCAGGCCCCTCGGGAGGAGACTTATCTCTGTGCCCCCAAGTCTGGGCTCCCCAGGACTCCCAAGGGGTGGGTGAATAAAGTTGTATTTGCAAAAGGAGAAACATAGGTGCTGTGCACACAGATGGGGCACATGCACGTGAAGGTCATTGGGAATCAGACCATTGCTTGCCCAGATTCTTCGTGAAAAGCCACATGGGAGGGAAGATGGGGCCTCAGGTAGGAGATAAGTGGAGAACACCCTGGGGCTCCGCAGGAGTTCTGCCTCTACAGACACAAAGACTCAGGACAGAGGAGCCCCAGCCTTGAAGGGGCGTGCACTGCATTTCTGATCAAGTCTCCAGTTACTTTCAATTCCCTGGAGACCATCTCATCTACCACATTAGGAAACTGGTGCAATTCTCCCTTAGGTTCTTCCATCTCCTGAACCCTGAAGCGATGTCAGGGACAAGAATTTCTTAGAGAAGCCACACGCACTTTTAGAGCAAAGAGGGAACTCCAGGTCCCACGGTGTCTGCAGTCTGTGGGCCGAGGTGGTGGACGGCAGGGCACGCAGCCTGGCCTACAGTCGGCTCAGAGACACATTCACTCCCAGGGAGCTCACGGCCCAAGTTGGGACTGGGTTTTGAAAACTTCATGATGGCCACAATGCTGAGACAATTTCTCACGTTTCAAGAATCTTCTATTCACTTCCCATAGTGTTAACGTGGCCTCCAGCCCCTGCCTCCCCGGGGGCCCTGCCAAGTCCCCTGGTGCCACCTCCTTGAGGGAAAAACTACGTTCCTGGACACGCCGTCAGTGCTGGCTGATCCCCCTCCCTAATTCCAGCGAGACTGTATTTGTTTACTTAGTGATGCTATTCGGAAAATCAGGAAGGAGGGCACCAACTGTAGACCCCAAGTTAAAGACCCTCTGCTCTGGGAACAGCGAGCATGAGATTTCAACAGTGAAATCGTCACTCAGAAAGGACCGAAGTGTGTGGGGCGGGGGGCACTAAGAACTGTGAAAGAACAAATGAAGAAATGCAATTAAAGCAACCAGTCATTCTGAGTTAGGAGGGAGTGGAGGGCCGGCCGGGGGAAGGCTGTTTAACCTGGAAGCCTTTAGGCTGTTGGGGCCAGCAAGGAGCCCTGGGCTCTGCGGGTGACCTCAGCAAGGCTCTCCCTGTGCTGAATGCACTGAGGGACAGTGGCGATGCCTGGGGATTGGGGGAGGGGTCTGCGTTTTCCGGCACAGTAAATATGGTTCCCCCCACCAACAGGTTTGAATGCTCTGTGGCAAGTCCAGGACCCGCCCCCGTTCTCTCACCACGGTGACAGCATCATTCAGCAGTGACTCCCCAAAGACAATGATGAACAGGACCTCGTTGACATGAACCTCCTCAAACACCGCCAGGACGGCCACTGGGTCCACGGCAGCGATCAGGCTGCCGAACAGGAGGAAATCCAACAGCCCAATCTCCAGGTGTCCTGGGAGGCAAGCAGGGCGTCAGGGAGAGCCTTAGAGGGCTGCGTGGGTGCGGGCCCCTGCAGCGTCCCCTGACCACCAGGACCTGGGAGAGAAGAGGAGCTATGGGGAGCAGAGGCAGGAGCATATCCTTGGCCTTTCTAGGGCTGCCTCCGGCTGCTGGCCTGGTGACTGCTGGACCGGGATCCCCCAGGTTGGGGACTCTGGCTCTCAGGGCTCAGGCTGACTGGTGTGGGAACCCAAATCAGACAACTGGCCTTCCTCAGGGGCTTCTGCAGTCCTTTAAGAAAGGCAGGGCACCCCAGCCTATCCACAGGAGACTGACCACCCTGGTTCTCTTCTTCGTCTCCCCTTAGGCCTGGATGACTCTTCCTGGCCAGCTCACTGGGAAGCCCACTGCAGGCAGGTGAGGGTATCAGGTGGTGCCTGGCCAGGAGATACACAATCAGACCCCGGCCCTGGGGAGTTTGCAGCCTAGGTTAACATGAGTACAGAGGCAGGGTCATAGGTGCTGGGACCGCATCAGGGGACGTGCCTGGGTGAGAGAAGACCTCCCAGAGAAATGATGTGTCAGCCATGACTGGAACAAGGACTGGCCTAAGGGGAGGTGAGGGGGTGGGGCAGGCCTCACAGGACCCTGGGTACCATGACTGCCCTTGGGAAACCCCAAAGACCCCGAATGTGAGTGGCTGCAAGGGAATGAGGGACTGCAAGAGGAGGGAGATGGATGATATATTTGGGGGTGCTGGGAGGGGAGAAGCAGGGGCTGGGTGGGGTGAGGGAGGAAGCTCTGGAAGGAGCAGGTTCATGTGGAGCCCAGCCCCCTGCTTCCTTCTCCTGCATGGTTCCTGCCCAGAGGATTCCTGGGCGCCTTTGGGTGGGAAGGTGGTGCTGAAGTGCACTTTCACCCTTTGCAATCCTCCCAGTTATCTCGGGTCCCAGATCGCCAACACGTCACGTGCTGACCCTGTTCCCCAGTGATGAATCTGCAACCTCGGGGAGGTGCATGTGGATATCTGTCCATCTCAGCCCAGGTGTCAGGCCTGCCCTCAGCCGGGTTTGGTTGGAGGAGGACCTTGGCTGTGGGCCTCCTTGCTGCCTTGTTGGCGTTGAATCCCCTCCCCAGCCTGAGTGGACCGCAGGGGCCTAAGAGCCAGTCAGGCCTTGAGAGCAGGAAGAGACCCATCTACAGGTAGGGAACACGGAGGGAGGGCCGGCGAGCCTTGAGTGCACATGGGCTGGATGCTACCCCGAGTCCTGGGGCAGGGGCATCTGCAGGAGCCCAGCTCTTCCTCGGGGCCCAGCCATGCCCCCAGGTGCCCTCAGAGAAGGTGGTCTCTGCAGAGGGGTTTGCCCACAGAGGACATTTCCTGTGAGCTCCTACGGCCCCACTCCTGGCGTCAGTGTCACAGTGTTCTGAGGAAGTGACAGGTGTTAAAAGAACCAGCTTCCCGGGGAATTTAAAATGCCCCATTTGGAATGGGAATCACAGGCTTTGCTTTTCCGCCTCACACACTGTCTGTGGGCAAATGTGAGAACACAGTCCTGCCTGGGTTCATACAACAGGGGCTTCCTCATACACATTCTCTGTCCAGGCCCATCAATCCTTAAAAGCTTCCCTGAACATCAGCCTCAAGTTGTGGAGGACACTGGCCAACCCAGCAGTGTATTCTAGAAGCCAGCCCTTCCAAGCAGGGTGCGAGCTTGGCCTAGAAGCACTGACCCTGCTAGGATAGCTGTGGACTACTAGACTGTGGGCTCATGGCTACCAAGTTGCACTTTCTAGACCTTCTCTCTACCTCAGGCATGAAGACCCGTGGCTTTGTCCACCTGCAGGGGCCTCTCCAACAGCTGGGAGCTTCTGTAGGTCCTGCCCCTGAGCTGTCTCAGATGGACAGCAACCCAGGAAGCCCAGGATGACCCTTCCTCAGAGGGGTACATTGGGCTTCAAGCCACTGGTCTGCACAGATGGATCCTTGCCCCCCTAGTCCCACTGGCTCCCAGCTCTCTTTAACCGGGAACAGAACAGACATGTGGGCCCTTGGGCACTGCCCTGCTCCATGACCTGGCCTGACGCTCAGCCCAACCAGCTGTGTCCAGGGGTGCCAGTCACATGTGTCCCTGCACTAAACCCTGAGACTTCCCCCTGGGCCCAGTAGCCAGAAATGGCCATGTCGTCTTAGGTATGTCCTGACTACCCAAAGGCATTGCCAATAAATGTAAACTCATCACATCACATGATCCCGCAGCTTCTAGGTGAGTGTAACACCATGCCACCTTTGATAGGTCTCTCTGGGCTGGGCCTGGTGGGTGTTGCCAACAGTGGGGGGCTCAAGGGAAGATGTGTGCTCCCCATGGGGTAAGAACAAAGTTCCAAGGTGACACATGTGTTGGGTGAGGTGACTGTTCTCATTAGGGGACCTTTGGTCCCTCTTTCTCAATGCATCACCCCTGTCACTAGGATTTAAAGGTCTTGAGCCACATGGGAGGCAGATACAAGGCTCTTCCTTCAGTCGGATGGGAAATGGCTAATCTGGGCTCATCCCCGTGAGACTGGTTTCGGTAGAGGAAGTGTGTGAGGTGGGTCCAAGTGCTGAAGCAGGTGTGTGGGTGCCAACATGCAGTGTCTCACCGCCCTGATTAACCCAGTGCCGACAGCAAACCTGCGAACTCGTGATGCAGCAGGGCCAGCCGTGGCAACCCAGACAGGCCAGCACTGAGGGCTGCACTGTGCTGGCACATTGGTGCAGGGCCTCAGGTGAACCCCTGGCTTCGCCTGCTCCAGTTTCCCAGGTATTAATGGGTGGGGCGAACCTTGCATGTCCGCCAGGGCTGAGTTGAGTAACCAAACTGTAGAAAACATGGCAAGGGAGTAGCTTTGTGCACATGTGAAAAGGTGTGGCCTTTTCTCTGTGGCTTATGCAGAAAGGACACCCAAACGTTCCGATTAGGTGCGTGTTTACCTGGGCTGTGTGGCTTGGATGCAGGACTCTGCCGGAGGGGCCTCCTCCTCTTTGTCCCTGGGGGCGTGGTGACAGGGGAGTGGGGCTGGACCCCATCTCTCTGCCAAGGGGCAAGGACAGCAGGTGGGCCATTCCCACCTGCCCAGCCCACTGTCCTCCCTGGTCCAACTGGACTTCATTCCCAGGCAGAACACATGCCTTGGCCTGGGGATGCTCAAACAGCTATTTATGAACTGAACCTTATTTTAAACAAACCAAGAGGGTTTAGTGGGCCCACCAGTGACCTTTCCCACTGACCAGAAATACCACTTTTAAGGTCTGTGTTCTGCACCCTGAGCTTTCTTAAATAGGGCTGCCCAGAGGCCGCCTAGCAGAGCTCACCCTGCGGTGTCCACCCTGCAAAGCCCACCCGGATGGATGGGGGTGCCTGCTCACCCATCAGGCCGCTCAGGAAGACGCCGTAGAGAGAAAGGCCAGTGGTGGCCGCGTTCCACACGGTGCCAATGACAGCATATAGCAGGATGGTGCCCAGGTTGCCGAAGAAGAGCCGGTTGGGCATGAAGTAGCCGGCGTCCAGCACGATGGGTGGCAGCAGGTAGAAGAAGAAGACGGTGGGCGTGAGCGTGAAGGATGCAATGTGGTCGGCTGCCCAGACGATGCCGCCCAGCACGAGGCCCAGCACGATGAGCAGTGCACTCTCAGGGACCACGCTGGTGACCTTGTGGGACAGGTGGAAGCCTGCGGGGGAGGGGAGTGTCAGGAGGCCAAAACCGCTCAGGGGAAGGACAAGAGGGAGGGGGGTTGGGGGGGCAGGGACCCCACGGGAGGGGCCATCCTGACATCACAGGACAGACATGGGCTCAAGAAGCAAGGCCCTGCGTCCCGTCTTTGGATGCTTCCCTCTGCCCCACGCATGTGGCAGCCCCGGTCGGCTGCCCTCTCAGGGCCTGGACAGGACACGCCCTCTTCAGGTCCGTTTCCTGCCCAGGGAATGAACAGCCTCTCCCAGGAACAGAGCCTTCTAACGTCGGGGTGTCCAGGGCCCCCTAAAGGGACTAGCTCCACTATCCACATTTCAGCTCTTAGGGGACCATGGCCCCCAGAGGTCTTCCCTCCCACAGCCGGCCCTCGGCCCCCTCGACACCCGGAGCCATCAACTCTGCCGGGATCTCAGAGGGCACATGCCTATGGAGCCCATTTCTCCTTTGTTCTGTTGTAAGACTCAGAAAAAAAGTGAGTGTCTATGTTAAGCCTGCTTTCAAAATAGTTGGAAAGCTGACAGAAGCAGTGGGCTCCTTCTGCTTAAGCAATATTTGGCATAATTATCTTTTTCATCCACTGAAGTTCTCTGCTTAGTGAGAGGCCTTTGAAATTCTGAGCTGAGCTGTCTCCGAGCTGCCAGGACCCCCAGTCCCAGTGCGGGGGACAGGGATGCAGAGCACAGGGCGCTGTCCCGCCTGGGTCCTGCCCTGTGCAGGTCCTGCCCTATCTCAGGAGGAATTCTTGGGCGAGGCCGGAGGAGGCGGCTGGCTCAGGCAGCCGGCTCAGAGGCTGGGTCCTGCCCGCTCTGATCCAGCCCCACCTATCAGATTGCCTCCCCCTCCCTGGCCTGTTTCATCACTTGTAATTACGGGTCATAGTGGGGGCTCCCTGAGGAGGTCCCAGGAGGTCTCCTGGCCTCACTGTTGTTTCTTCCTCGCAAACAGCCCTCTCCAATCTGGCCGAGAAGCCACATGACAGACCTAGTACATGCCCTTGCAGGCACCATGGCCTCTGGCCTGTGACCTATGACCTATGACCTACAAGCCCCCCCCCCCATGCTGGGTAAGAATCAGAATGGGTTACTGTTTCTGGGACCTGTGGACCCGCTGAGAGTCCCAGTCCCACAGGCCTGCAGGCCCTCCGGAGCCCCAGTCCAGCTGCACGTCTGGCATCCTGACCAGACCCTGCTTTCCCCTCCAATATGAAATGCACACACATCAGGTGGACGCAGCACCTCTTCGCCCCACCCCAGGGGAGCCTCCCAGGAAGCCCACAGAGGGCGTCCCCACCCTCATGGAGAAACTCAAAGGCCCAGGAGACTGGTGCCTGGATGTTGCCACGTGCTTGAGGACAGATGACAAGTGGCACCAAAGGGTGACCACCTGGAATGAGGGATGTTGTTTCCGAACATGGAGGGCCAGTGTCCTTGAGACCCTCAGGCCCTGCCTGGCTTCTCAGCAGGAAAACATCCTGGCCTCACCAGAGTTCATCTGTTCACACCTCCTGGAGGGTGTTCTCCCCAAGCTTGGGAGGGGCCATGATGTGGGTGAGAAAGGGCAGGGGTCCAGCACAGCTTACCCTGTGCCCAGTTCTTCTCCCACATGACAGCATCCAAGAGCCCCCATCCCCAGCAGCAATGGGCCTCCCGGAGCTGTGCCTGTGGTAAGAGACCTAGCCTGTGGTAAGAGCACACGGAGACTGTCTCTTTCTGCTACAGCATGCTCCAGCTTCCCCGGGCTCTGGGACGTGGGGGTTGCCTTCTGCTTTGGGAAGAGACTTGGGAGGCCTTGTTCTTCCTTTGGCTGTGGCCCTGACATCCAAGTGCACAGGGCAGCACAAGAACCCCCTGCAAGTTCCAGGGCCTCACTCCAGGCACCAGACTCAAAAGATCCTGGGCCGCTGCATCAGTCTACATTCTAACTGGTCTGAAGGCCCCTCCCTGGTGGACTCTGGAAAGGACTGGGAGTGTGTCCCTCCATCTGAACCCTCCCTAATTGTTTAATGATATGCAGAGAGAACCAAGTCTTCTCTTCTTTCCTAATGGCTTTGATGTCCAGGATCCGTGTTTAGAAGGCCAGTGGTCCCTGGCCTTGCTTCTCTGTTGTTGGCAGGGCCATTGGTGACGGAATGCCTTTCTCTGGGGTTGGGGGAGCCATCCTCTCTTGCCTCCATGAATTCTTAGGAGTTCCGAGCCAGCTGTTTTGGGGGTCACCCAGCTGGAGGCTCTAGTTCCATTCACCATTCCTCCATACAAGTCACTGTTTTCTACAAAACGCATACTTTCTGTCCTTCTTCATCTCTTGACCAGGCTCCAGCAGAGACTGTATTTGTGGCAATATACTCTTCACTTGTTCCTCTTGCCTTTTACTGGGTAAAGTAGCATTGGTTGTAGGTCCTTGCTTTTCATCACCTTGAATATTTTATGCCCAATCCCTCTGGCCTGAAATGTTTCTGCTGAAAAATCAGATGACAGTCTAATGGGAGCTCCCTTATAGGTAACTAACTGCTTTTCTCTCATGGCTTTTAAGGTTCTCTCTCTGTCTTTAACCTTTGACATTTTAATTATGGTGTGTCTTGGTGTGGGCTTCCTTGTGTCCCTCTTGTTTGGGACTCTCTGTGTTTCCTGGACTTGTGTGTCTTTTTCCTTCACCAGCTTAGGGAAGTTTTTAGTCATTATTTCTTCAAATAGGTTCTCAATCCCTTGCTTACTCTCTTCTCCTGGTATCCATGCTTCATGCTATCCCCAAAATTTCTTAAACTCTCCTCATTTTTTAAAAGTCTTTTTTCTTTTTACTGTTCTGCTTGGGTATTTTTTTTTTCTATCTTGACTTCCAAATCACTGTTTTGATCCTCTGCTTCATCTAACCTACTGTTTATTCTTTCCAGTGTATTATTTATTTCAGATATTGCACTCTTTATTTCTGACTGGTACTTTTTAATGGTTTCTATATCTTTTTTCATGCTGTTGAGCATCCTTATTACTATCACTCTAATAAACTCTATATCTGATAAATTGTTTGCCCCCATTCCATCCAGTTCTGGACAATTTTCTTGTTCTTTCATTTGGGGCCTATTTCTTTGTCTTCCCACTTTGTCTGGGTTTGTTTCTATGTATTAGGTATATCCACAAAGACTCAGTCTTTTCTTTTGAAGATTTTATTTATTTATCTTTAGAGGGGAAGGGAAGGAGAAAGGGAGAGAAATATAAATGTATGGCTGCCTCTTGTGCGCCTCCTGCTGGGAACTTGGCCTACAACCCAGGCATGTGCCCTGACTGGGAATCAAACTGGTGTTGTTTGGTTCGCAGGCCTGTGCTCAATCCACTGAGCTACACCAGCCAGGGCAAGACTCAGTCTTAATGTGTTGATGTGGTTTCTTCTGTAAGCCCTTGGTTATAAGGCTTCTCTCCAGCTAGTGTTCAGTTGGTTACTCAGGATGATTTTTCTGTAATTTAGCTGTAATTCCAATTTGGTTCTGAGAGGAGGTTGGTGTAGCTTTCACCTAATCTACCACCTTAGATCCCCTCCCTCTTGCTTTTTAAGGGCCACACAACAGGCACCTTTCCAGCAAGGCTCCGAAGCAGCCAGGAGGTGCCCGTGGGTCTGCAGGCTTCTTGGAAGATTGAATCCAGTGACTGAAATACAGCACCACAGGTCACAGGGCCTAGGGCCAGAACTAGAGGGCACCAAGTGACCTCTGAACTCCAGTAGGCCCCTTGCTGAGGCAGCAGGGAGGGATCCCCAGAGCTAGTCAGGACTCCATGTTTAGTCACAACTCTCCCAAAATTAGAGATTCACCACGGATCACGAGCATTTTGAATTTCCCCTTGACGACTGCAGGGCCAGCGGGCGGGAAGGTGCCGCGGGACCAGGCTTATCCTGAAACACAATAGCAACAGCAAACTTTGCACCTTACGAACTGGAAGTCCTGGCTGACACCATTAGCTAATCCTTTGCTGCATTCCTGTATGGCAGCTGGTTACTACAAAATCTTATTAATTTGGGAAATGAGCAGATGAGAGGCCAACTTCAGACCAGATGTTACTTGCTCAGAAGTAAGCCCTGAAAAGCCACAGAAAAAGTGATTTGCACTTTTTTCTCAGTGAGAAACATATGTTTACACACAGGCACTTGTTTCTGAACTTCTGCTGTGAGTGACAGGCACACTGGGTGAGGGCAGAACCCTGGGAGTGGGCGCATTTTAAAGTCGAGGGCTCAGCCATGTCCTCCGGTGTGGAAGTGCTTGTCACATCTGCCCACGAGGGCAGCGGGCGGCCCCGTCCTTGCCCCAGGCAGATGGGAAACGGCACCCCCGGCAGATTCAGTCTAACTTCTCTTCACATTTGGGAGACGTTCTTTCCTTTTCTGTGCCCTGTTTCTTCACGGCACTTGTCTGCAGCTTCACGGGTTCTCAAGCCTCTTCTTACCAACACACTGCTCTTCCCGTGCTGGTCCAGGGATCTTCTCACTGTCAAAGGTGGGGCCATTTATTTTTTTACTTTGTTCGTGTTGTTTTGTTTTGTGCAGACATCTTCTCTTTGGGTAAATCTATTCATCTTTTGTTTTATGGCTTCTGAATGTTGTGTTATGCTTCAAAAAGCCATTCTTACTCCTCTGATTTCTATTAAACTTTTAACATTCAATTTAGCTTTCCTTGAATTTAATAGAGAAAATAATTTAAAATAGTCATGAAACTGAAGGATCTGCCGAACCCCAGAGAGAGCCTTCCCTTGAGTCTGAGTGTCCGTGGACAACTCCCTACCCCTGTGGCTGGGGCTCCCACACCCCGTGTGTCCGCTGGGTCTGTGACACTGTGTTCTCCCCCGGGCATGGACGCATGGCTCGCCACTGCCCTTCAACCACGCTTCTCTGGCCTGTGTCCTAGAATGCCTGGGCTTCACCTTCTCACGTCTGCAGACATTTGCCTGATTCCTGTGTTGCGAGGTCATGTCCTGGGGTTGCAGAGCTGCCCAGAAC